GTTCTTCCAACGAGAGATGGTTCACCGCCTGTGTCTCCGGTACGAGGCCAATGGCTTCGGCGTCTTCGAGAAAGTACGGCGACGATTCATTCGGAGCTACTGTACGGTCAGAGCTGTTGGACTCTGACCGCCCCGATACAGCGTCGACAGTAGCAGGCATCTGGGGCGAGACCGCCCCGCACAGACTTACGGAGCGAGGACCATGAGACGAGGGTGGAGGTTGAGGGACGCTGCAAGCCACCCACTCCCGGCGCGCCGCCGGCTCACCCGCTACCAGATTGGTATCCCGCAATCCCCGTGCGTTCATTGGCTCCTAGGAGCACACGCCGGTATGCAGGCCTCTCGTGTAAGTTACTGCAGTTGGACGTAATTTGCCTACACTGCTTGCTACAGCAAGGCAGCAATAGGCACTCTGGTCCGTCATGTCTACGATGACTGCAGGCAGGTTACCCCGCGTAACGAATTCGCTCGGAATAGTAGGAGGGTATCTAACGGCATTATCCTACCCGCCGTCGCTTTTCACTTCGCTGACCATCGTCTCCATGAACAGCACTAGACCGCTTCCGTGGCATGGGTCCAGAGGAACCTGGGGCGAACGGTCTTCGCTTCTTCTCTTTCTGACTTGCCTTCTTCTGCCTCTTGTCTATCGCTTTCTTCACTGCACCGCGCCCGCCTGACGCAGCGAGAGCCTCGTATTTAGCTCGCAGTAGAAGATCCTTCTTGTCGGCTGGCATGATTTGTCAGTAACAATGGAAGTCAAGTAGTCCCCAGTACGCACAATCCTTCATAAACCATGCCCCCTTTCCTGCCTTTCGCCTTTCGCCTTCTTCTTTGGCCACCTTCTCTAGAGCCTCCTGTTCAATCTTTTCCTGCCGGTCCTTACTGACCATGCTCTCAGCACGCTTGTAGGCGCGCTCCAGCCTTTGGACCTCTTGCTCGCGTTCTTCTCGCAAATGCCTCGGCGAGTTGACCAAAAGCTTGCGCGCGCGCTTCAGATTATCTCTGAGCGTTCGCATCTCTTGAGAATGCATGTCTGCAAGGAACCCATATTGCGAGCGAAAACGCTTGGCCGAGAGTTCTCCTGTCATGGGTAAGAACCGTGGATCTCTGGGGACCTGGCGGAATGTTGATGAAGATCATGCACTACGTGACGAGAGACATACCACTTTCTCTCCTTCGACAGCCAGCTTTTTCCTGGGGACCGGTTTCTTCGAGCTCACTTCTGTCGGACTACAGACTTTGTCAGCGGTACCAAGAGGTCAGAAATACTGATACATACGCATGCTTACTTGACCGTTTGGGGATGTCTTTCTTCGACTTTCGGGGTTCATCCACCTCTCTCGCTTTCCCCTTCACATCGTAGCGCGATGAGACCTGCTCTACGTCGGACACACCGTCTTCTTCATTTGCGTCATCCGCTTCTGGATCTAACGCACTAGAGCGGGCTAGTTCTCTCTGCGCTTTCCGCAGTGTGCCAAACGACAAGGACGCGAGCACTGTAGGGAATAGCTAAGGCTTGCGTTTGCTCGCCCGATGCGAGTGAGACTCACCATCCTCCGCCCCGTGAGTCTATCGAGTGTCATATCTCAGGTGAACGAGTTTCAAGATTTCCAGACAATGTTGTTCACGCACTGACTGTTCCGCTTCTTCCTCAGAAGCACTAGACTCCGGGTCGCTATCCGCCTCACTAGCCTCCTCCAATTCCTCGTCGTCCACCCACTGAGCTACACGTGCCCCATCCAAGTCAATCTCCTCTGGCTCCTCATCCACAACCTCATTGCCTGATCCATCTTCCGATGATGCATCATCTTCACCCTCGTCTTGTTCGAAGAAACCTTCAGAGCCGGACGCGGAGGCAGATGCCTCCGACTCTTCGTCAGATTGCTGAGCCTGTCGTACGGCTTTGGGTGTGCTGCTTCCAGTCGCCAAAGGTGTAACTCGCGATGCACCACGTTCTTGCGCTGCATGCGCGGGAGGGCGTCGGGAAGCGGGGCGAGCTCGTCGAGGCATGCCAAGAAGTTGTGCAGATCGGGCAGGGATCTCAAATGGCGGAAATGAGCGCAGGCAGGTCGATCAATCGCCCCGCCATCTTGCTCCTCCCGATTAAGAAGGTGCTGTGGTACGAACGATTAATGTGAACGTGATTTGGGCTGCGGCAATGTCTCCGAAGAGCTTGATAGTACAAGATCCCGGTCACGCCGGCAGCTGGAGAAGACGACGACATACATAGGATATGATTGCGACAGACGATTCAGGCGATGATGACAAGGAGGCCTAGCAGAGCTGGTATCAAACCGCATGACTGGACGTTGTGAAGTCTACAATATTTATTCCATAATTATACCCGGGCATACAGTCATACACTATCCCTAGAATTTTAAAACTGTCTTGGATGACCTCCAACGCCGAAGGACACTACAGCCGAAGCGTGCGAGAAGGAACCCGATCCGTAAATAGGTGGGCCTAATAATTCGCAAGACTACGGGCTTCCTCCGCCTGTCTATGCGAGCCAATGCCGGAATAAACGGCGATTGTGCGAACGGAATCTTGTCGAGCTTCCTGTTGGGCCCTCTGCACTGCGGACGCTGATTCAGGGTGCGCAATTTGCCAGCGACACGGCTGGTAATCTGCCTGTAGCTGAGACTCGGCTCCCTGCGCAGAACCTGGAAAAGCTCCAGTGTGAAGGCCCCGCGATGCTCGCCACTATCATCTACCACCTCATAGGCGCTCTCGTTTTGACCACACGCAGCCAGCATGGTGTAAGGCCCGTGGTGAGAGCTAGCGTCGGGTTGGAAAGTTGCCCTGATAGGCGTCAGGTTCGCTCGGCGAGGTACAACTGGGATGCCGCAGCGGATGTCTAAGTCGAGATCCAGAGAAAGCGGCGTGGAACAGGTAGGCAGTGCCGAGCGGGCGGTCACAGTATCCCCACGAAGGATCTGAGACATGCCGCCGGAGTGACATGAATCAAGGATTACTGTCTGATGAGGACTACGATAAGTGTGAGCTTGCCGTGGGCAAAGATCTAAGTACTCACGATGTCACACCCTCTCACGTGCTCTAATCGACTCAGCAGCGCATGCAAGGTCGGCTGGGGGATCCCGCGCACTATTCCGCCTTTGCCAGAGAGTGCCCCTTCATTGTAATGGGCATATTGTCTCTGCGATGTTGCCCACGCAACCCCATTGCGGACTCACTTGGGCATAGGAACCATGCCCAGCAAAGTATATAACCACGGCGTTCTTCTTGGTAATGCGAGGGTTGTTGATAAGTTTTTGATCGAGGGACGCGAGAATCGCAGAATGAGTCGCCTCCTCGTCCCGCAGATTGACAATATGGGGCGAGGGTACACCGAGATCATCGCGCAAGTATTTGACAACGTCGTCCGTATCGTTGCCGCATCCACGTAAGGGTGGGATCCGCAAATCCTCGTATTTGCCTATGCCGATAACAACAGCATGTACGTCTTTTCCGTCCATCCTCGGCCGAGAGGTTTCCACTTGCAGCCTTGGACGGACAGGTGACTTCTGGGTGCTGCTGATACTTTGTCCAAAACGTCAGCCATGTCTTGCATATGACGATTCGTAAACAATACTTACGTATCACTATCAATACCGGTTCCCGGGGAAGAGGGATGGACATAAGCGTGGCGGGCTACGGGTAGCACGGCAGGAGGATCGCAAGACTTCGAGAATCTCGGATGCGCACAACTGTTCATGACGTGCGTGTGCAAGTAAGGGGACGGACTGATGAACACTTGAAAGATACCTACGAGCAAAGAGGCCCCTTCGCCACTCCTTATAGCGGCGCTGCTCATACCTCTTGAGAAGCTACGAGTGTCGGTGGACTGACGCGACTCTATCCAATGAGGAGTGCTCTATCCACCGACTACATCTGAGCGTGTTGCCCGCGCGCGGATGGTCAACATCCCAACGCCATGGCCAGTGCTGCGCGTCGGCTGTACGTGAGTTGATGGGCACATCAGTGAGGGTGGAATGGAGGGACAATGCAGGTGTAGTGGTACAATTAACGACATGCATGCGACTGCGACACCACCATACCAGTGCACCGCGGGCGAATTATACTGTGTTTGAAAATGAGGTCAACTCTAGGTATTGACGAATTGTAACAGACTCACAGAAGCTGAGGCCTGAGGCCTGAGGCACAGTGAAAATCGGACCTGCCCGAACTAAGCCAGGGCCTGCCCGGAGCAGGCCTTGACAGCCATTTGACGTGTTCCACCTGCTCCGAGCTGCCCCCACCTGCCGCATTGGTTCTATCGGCGTCTCTCAATGGCGTTTTGTAACTTTAGACACTTTCTTAGCTCGCTTACGCGCTATGGCCGTCCGCCTTAGTGCTTTAATGCCACCCCGCATCTCGTTAACATGAACGCCTCGATCGTAAGCCGTACGCGTAAGTCTCTTTAGCTTCGCTAACACTCTTCACTTGTGCGTTAACGCGTCCACGTTAGCCTTCCGCGCTCCGCCCAGTTCCTTGAGCCATCCACCTCCCGACCCCGTGACTTGCACGCCCGACCTCCGATGACGCCATGCAGACGCGAGAGACTCCAAGTCTTTCCGACTGCAGACGGCCTTCGCTTTACACCGCCACGTCGACATCCGCCGACATCTTATTCCACGACGTGCACAGGCACGCACTCCCTTCTGACTTTATGAATCACTCTATTCGTATCAAACGTGCGCAGGGCGGGCGGGCGGTTGGGCTGCAGGCGGCCAGGAGTGTGTGAGTGAGTAGTACATTACACAGAGTGTCGCGCCAGCTCTCCTTTGTTTTCAGACATAGGATCGTGACCCGCGACGGGGTGGATGGGCTATAGTGCCGCAGCTGATACATGTGCCGCACGGGCGAGCGAGGGTGAGCCTGAGGGTGAGTCTGGGTTGTGCGAACGGCGACTTCGCGTAGCCGTTTGTGGGGTACAATGCCTTCCTGCACTAATCAGCTATCTGTTGACCCTGGGGTTGGCGTGCAGATCTAGTCCGAGTCGAATATGTCGAACGTCGCCGCCAAACTACTGGCGGAGCCTGGCGCTCGACCCGTTGTCACCGCTGCATGATGCTCTCGAGTACGCTGTTCTAGGTCTGGCGATGCGAACAGACGCTGCGGGACTCCGGCGCAATCCCGCACGCCCGGTGTCCGCCAAATGCGCCCTCGTACGGGTATTGCCAAAAGAGGCAACCCCGCGAGCGTCCAAACTCGCAGGGAATCTGAGGCATGCCCCCCTCCATCCGCCAGGTCGACTCGCGAACGGCCTCAGGCACAGCAACACGGCGCACACGCGCGCGGCGAGCACCCACGGCAAAGGCCCCGCACGCAAACCTAGCCGACGAAGACACCGCGGGCCTGGGCGCAGCGACGAACTCACGACAGGTGTGGACGACGAATACACGGCAAGCGTGAACGACGAGCGGACGGCGGGGACGAATGAACGGCTGGCGGGGATGGGCGAGGGCGAGGTCGAGGGCGAGGTCGAGGGCCAGAGCCAGGTGAGTCCAGCCACACGCGAAAGGGCTCGCTAACAGCGAGCACAGGACGCGGTGACGTGCAGCGCGACGCGCACGACGACGGCGAGCACGCAGGGCCAATGCCCTGCGTGTAGGCACGGCCGACGAACAAGCGGCGCGCGGACGGGCCGACGCACAGGGCGACCGCGAGCATGCAGGGCCAATGCCCAGCATGCAAGCACGGCCGATGAACGGATCGCGCGGGGATCAGCAAAAGACGGAAGACAGCGACGTGGACAGGGCCGAGGCGTGCGCAACACACGCCAACTGCGAGCGCGGAGGACGAATGTCCAGTGCACAGACGCGGTCGACGAACGCGCACACAGGTAAGCGGAAGGGAGGCCGAGGAGGCACACAATCGGGTGGGCGGGCGTGTACACAACCGGGCGGGACCACAACCGGGCGGGACCACAACCGGGCGGGACCACAACTGGGCGGCGACGCACGCACGGCAACCACGAGCGCGCAGGGCAAATGCCCAGCACGCAAGCGCGGTCGACGAACGAGCCGCGCGCGCGAGCGACACACAGGAGACGGCGACGGTGGACAGGGCGTGTACAACACACGCCGACTGCGAGCGCGTAGGGCCAGTGCCCCGCATGCAAACGCAGCCGACGAGCGTGTCGCAGGTAGTGAATGGGGGGCGAACGGACGAGGACAAGCGGGCGGGAGGCCGGGAGGCGTAGTAGTAGTGCAATGTATATTAGTGTAGTAGCATTATAATCGACGGCAGTTTACAGCAGGTTATAGCAGATTACGGACCTGCCCCCAGCTGCCCAGACCTGCCCGCAGACTAAGACGCCTGCTCTCGGCAGGTTGGGGCAGGTTATGCGTTAAGGCCGTGTTTCAATTGCCTGCCCCCAGTCAACCGAGAGCTGCCCGTAGTGTAGTCGTTGACAGCAGCTGTCAAGACCTTTTCCGGGCAGGTGTCAGCTTAGTTCGGGCAGGTCCGGTTTTCACTGTGCCTGAGGAGCGATGCGGCCATTGCCCTGAGCAATACCTGGCGTGGTAGATCGAAGACAATCGTTGCAGCGTCGATTGCGGCTCCGCTCGCCGCTCGCCGATCATACGCTTCAAGTTGTTTTCGCGACCTCGCTGCACGCCGGCACTGGCAGTTCACGAGTCCGAGTGAACGTGCATACACTAAAACCACTGCACGCGCATGGTGTGGAGATGCACAGGCTCGGGTGCAGAAAGACCGATGCTCGGAACTCACGAGGGTAGGCTTATGCAGGCATCGCGTAGGCGGACTGGACCCACTATGACCTGAACGGTGGTCAGTCTAGGGTGGACGTAGTGGCTGTGTGCACGGTGTACACTTCCACCGACCTAACTCCCGCAGCCTCATCGGCAGTTTGTTAGATCTGTGGTAAGCATCCCGCGACGCGGCCCACCGGCAGAAAGCAGGACAGTGGCTTTCGTTCCGTGATGCGGAGGTTGGTCAAGGAGGTTCCCTTGTCCTAAAAATCGAAGGCAGCATCTTTCAACAGAGAAACAAACAAATCGCGAAGCAAACGGGCAGTGACTGCATGTATAGTGGTGGCTGGGCGAAAATAACCCAGCCACCAAGCCACCAAGCCGTACCGAGTCTAGCGCCCATTACCACCGGCGCACGCACGTTTTCAACTTGCAGCAGCATACTGCAGCTGATGGATATGCAATACATTTCACCAACAGAACAAATGTTTGCAAACAGGACTCTACGCTAGACGTCATGTACTGCGCTGCTTTGTCCCTTGAAGGAATCGGGATCGTCCACAGTGGTCTGGGTCTCGACACCGTCCAATAAGACATATCGCCCGTTCTCCATGCGCACATCAAGTGCCAGTCCCTTCGACTGCACACCAGACCGCCAGAATGGGCTAAGGCCGAACCACACGGCCATCTTGGCAAGGAACGGTCGATGCTTTGGTTTTGTCTTTCTGAGCTCGTCGTCAAGAATGCCTTCCCAACGATAGTAAGGGCGTGCACGAATGGATACGTCATCATAGTCGGTGCCTGCTCCGGTACCGAGCGTTGATGGTTGCATGAGAGTCTTCATGTCGACTTCTTCCATATCGAGCTCAGAGGTGTCCTCCCCAAGGTGCAAGACATTGGCCTAGAGTGCGCGAGTCAGCGCAAGTGGTGCAAGTCCAATACAAGGGCTTACCCCATGCGAGCCATGGAAAACGATGTCATTCATTCGCAGATACATCTTGTTGAGCAAGCCGGCGTCGAAGAAATCGTCCCACTTCGCCTTCTTGTGCAATAGACCACGCTGAGTCAGGAAGGCCTCGAGCGCGGCACGGGGCAGAGGGGTATATGCTATTGAAGAAGGATAATGGGGGTCGAAATCTGACGCATGTTTCTGCAGAGCGCTGATAGTATTGTAGTTCCGTCTCCACAAGTCGTCCTGAGAACGGTGACAATCCACCTCAGTGCATGGCCGGGCCACAACAGACGAGATACGTACCCAGTAGACATACCACCATGTGGCCAATTCCGACGCAGACACTCCGGACCACCTCTCGTACGTGACCTCGAAGATCGGGCGGCTCGTGTTCACCAATTCGCGCACGCGCGTGTCGCGTTCCAGCTCCTGAACGACACTCACAACGTCTGCAGGTAAGCGAGGCTGATTATAGACGGCGGCCAGGAATTGATACGTGAGGACGTCTGCTTTCCACTGGCACTCCCGTCTGCTGTGATGTCGATAACTGCGCAGAACCATCTCAAGCGGTACCAGATGTTCTGCAATCAGTCGCTCGTTCATAGTCAAGAACCGAGCGAGAGGCTGGGTAAGATCGAGATCATCTGTGAGACCAATGATAGACCCGTCGACTGTGACGCCCTTCGCGTATGTCAGTTCCACGTCGAATCCGCTACCCAAATCGACTCCTTCCCAAGGTAGGGTCCCGCGACGTTTGATGCGGAAAGTACAAGTCTTGTAGTGGATGACGGCTTGGGCTCCGTACCGCTTGCGACAACAGCACCACCCTGTGTCTTCGCCAACGTTCTTCAGAATAATCAGCACTCGACCCAACTCAATTGCCTTCTGTCAACTGATACTCACCCGGACGTAATCATAGGGCCACATGACGACTAGCCCATCCATGGCTCGTAGGGCCAGTCGCATCTCACGCTTTCGACGAATGTGAGGGCTCGAGTTCTGAGCAACATACTCTTCTAGCTGTGACAAGTTCTGCAGAGCTCTCAATGGACCGTCGTCGTAGCGAATGACCTTCGAGGAGAAATAAGAGAATGGTTCAATTGGTTCTTGCACCTGAGACTTACCAAAGTCGGTGGGAACGGAATCCACCAAGCGTTGCCAAAGAAGTGCGTGCACTTCGGGAGAGGTGCATCTGGAGGTTTCCAATAGCAGTCGGGACCAATGAAGTGATCTTGAATGTCTCTCTCGAGGCGACGGAAGAGAGCGGCGTCAGGTCCAGCTATAAGCGCAACAGCCTTGTAATAGGAGATTGACCCCACTTCACGGAGTATCTGGCGTTTGGGGGCTCGTCAACTATTCGTGTACGATGCGATGAAGGCATACCTTCAGGTTCTCCACCATACGTTCCCCAGGTGTGCCCTTGAACTCGGTCAGATAAGGAGGGAACTCCTCGTCTCGCGCTTCCTTGAAGTCCATTGGCTGTTCCTTCGGTATTTCAGTAGTTGGGTTGGTTAGAAACAACGTCATAAGGGCTTCCTGCCAGATCCGTCGTCGTGTATGGGGAGATGATTGTGAAAGGTCAACCCTTCGCAGTATCAGTACGGAGTTACGCCAGGGGGAGGCATCACATACCGAGGAGAAAACATATCAATGCCTGGAACACTGTCGCGTGAGCTATGAGTACGAAGCGATCAGGGCCGAATACGTACTGAAATCAATGCGACGTGCAAGCCCTAAGCAAGCAGGTCAGCTAGTACGGAAGTCATGACTCATTGGACATACTTTTGACGAGGCGACGTGTGATGTCCATGTTAATGATGGTGAAATCTGCGCCCAGAATGTAAGGATAGCGATGACAGCGATTGTCCCAAGCATTGCTTACAGAAACTGAGTCCATAAGTTACAATGTAAATTCTGCGGCCCATGTCAGCAATGCCCGCGGCGAATGTTAGGAATCAACCTCACATATCAAGAACGACTCCGTTCAATATGCTTGATCCGGGTATATTCAGAGCCACTCCAAGGGCTACTGCAGACGTGAGGACGTAATTCAATCGTGAAAACCACTCCGAGGCGTTGTTGATGGGATTCAGAAAGGGTGCGTAGATGCCTTGAAGGATAAAGTAGACGAGCATCGCAAGCAACAAGACGATTTGACGGGCGACTGCCACCCATTTACTAGAAAGGGTGCGGAAGAGGCAGTTGCCTGGGTCGATGACCGCCGTGATCAAGAGCGTCGTGAGCTTTGCGAGGAGGAACACGCATTCGTACGTTCCCCAACCCCTGCGAAACCCTGGACGCATGATTGGTTTTGCACCCAAGTCACAATGCACGAAAACACTGACCGCTGTACAGGAAGTTCAGTGAGTTTTTGTCGCGATTCAATAAGCGTTGGTATTCGCGATTCATGTCGCTGTTACTCCTGGGTGCGCCCAATTCCGTAAAGCGGTCAACGACCGGGACAACTTTCTTGATCGTGTGGTACAGACGAATAGGAAACCAGATTGTCAGCTGAAGTCAAAGTGTCAGAAAAGCATAGGGCCTAAAAGGAATTACAATACCCCAGCGATGCAGGCGGTGGCAAGGATGACCAGGACAGGCGCATAGTTGACCGCGTCAAGCTTCATGCTTGTCGTCCAACAGAAATCGAGAGGCGCACGGTACTCGTCCGGCGGACCCAAGGGTGCCACGGTTGGGGGGTTAGACGTCGAGTTCGTATACGGATTTGGGACGACCCAGAGATCGTTTGACCAGACTAGGATGTGCATGGCTATGGTGCTAACAGGCAGATAGATGACGGTCAGCAAAAAGCTGACCAGCAGGATAAGCCAAGAATGTTTGGGGTATTCCAGAGATTGTTGCCCTTCCGGGACGCGGATGGTGGTACATTGAGAGGTTGCCCGATAGAAGTAATATAAGAGCAAGCCGGATACGATCATGCATATTATGAGGAAGACGGTAGATTCTGTGGTTGTCGACGCGAAGTTTAAGGCCAAAATGTTCGGGCTGTTCGCGTTTCAGCAATTACACTGCATCATGAGGTGTCGAACATACATTTTGACGAGGAACAATTCTCGCCAACGATCCTTGAATGTATTACTGGAGGACACTATCCGATCTATTAAGGGCTTGCTAGCTCACATAGGGCACGGCGTCTTACCAACAGTACTCAGAATGAGTGCGAAAATCTGAAGCGTGTCGAATAGTCCTTGGACGCTGTAGTAGGACGCCAGTGCACTTGATCCCTACCAATACATGTCATCTCTTGTGCGAAACGAGGTCATGGACTTGCTATGCACACACCGTTATGCCAATGGTCAAGCTAAGAAGAGTGGAGAAGATCGAGTCACAATTCCTCCATCCCGGTGCTACCGTCGCGTTGTGCTCCAGATCGGCCAGCGTCTTCTTGGTGTCCGCTAATGCTTGCATAGGCGGAAACATGGCCATAGTTGGCGCCTTGCCCTTCTTGCTCTGTTCGATCGCTACATACGACGGTGCTGGGAGCGAGGCGATATAGTCGTCTAACTTTGGCAAATAGAGTGCTGGCGCCTTCCTCGAAAACACCGTTGCCAGTGGAATGGGGGTATGAGGTCCCAG